TGCGATAACTGGCCCTCCAGCCTCGCAATCGCCGGATCCTCGGCGTGTTGCTGTTGCGTGGCTGAGGTCTCTTCCCCCAGCCCTCCGACGAAACCGCTGTCCGACGTAGACATCACCCGATGCGGCTATCCCTCGAGGGACAAATAAACTCTAGAGTGTTTGTCGGCCGTACTCCGCGTACTTATCGGGACTTGTTTGTGTAGTGTATTAACTTCAGACGGTGGGACAACGCCCGTACCCAGGACGTTGTCGTGCTCGGAAAGGGGGAGGAGAAAGAGAGAGTGGCAGCGCGGCTGCTGCACTCAACAAAGGGGGTCCCGGTGCATCATCACCGTACCCCTACCTAAAAGGTTCTACACCATCTGCGTNAGAGAGAGAGAGAGAGAGAGAGAGTAGCAGCACGGCTGCTGCACTCAAGAAAGGGGGTCCCGGTGCTTCATCACCGTACCCCTGCTTTAAAGGTTCTACACCATCTGGGTCACACTTGTACGTACGGGTAATGTATCCACCATGTCCGTAGACCCACGAATATTGGTCGCTTGAAGGGCGGCAACATCTAGCCCGTAACGACACCTGGGCCGCGTGACGAGTGGGCACTCGGGAGTGGCGGGGGAGACAACGTGGAGGTGCACAAACAACCTTCCGCGCGGTTCGAGACGGGGCGTGCGGATCCTCGGGAGCTCAACCTCGTAAATGTTCTGTACTTGTTCCGCCACAAGGATAATCGGTCTTTCATGGGTGTTGGGAGCGCACCACCGCTCACGCGGTGGGTGGTTGGATACGACTACAATGGGGTTGGTCACGCCAACGACCGCGTCCCCGACTCCGTAACCGGGCATCCGACATTGCACCTTCGAGCCCGCGGTCGTCCCCAGGTGTACCCTGTACCTGCCATCTATCGGCAGGTGCATCTCTGCCACGCATGCTCAATCAGCGGCGAACATATGACGGACAGCTCTCAAGCTTGTGGGGTAGTGCCGGGCAGGGGGGTTCGAGTCATCGTGGTGTTTGCCGCCACAGATTTCCGCCAAGCCACGCCGGGAACGACCGGGTGCGACAGGTACCTGTACAATGAATGTCATCATTCCATCAACCAAGACACCTTCACCTGAGGACGTCGGTCTCGTGTTGTCGGAGAGACACAGCAACCACTGACCGCGATGCGCGTCTACCAAAACCCGAAACGAGCAGTATGGCATGGGTTTGCGACGAACGTACCAAAGCGTTTGGCGGGGTATGGAAGTCCGTACCTTGCATTCGGGGTAATTCTATTTACGTCACCGGTGGCGTTATTTCTTATATACGTCACCGCCCGTATCTCAGCCCACAGAGCTTCAATTGGCACAAAATGAATTGCGTTGTGTAGCTATGACCCACACCAGTCATACAAGCCAACTTGAAGCAAAATCCACTCTGTAGTTGGAGAGGCATGCTCGAAAAAGGGGTCTCAGCGGAATCAAACGGTGGGCACCCACCACATATTCCACCGTAACTCCGCGGCAAGAGCTCCAATCGACGTCAAACAAACTGTGCTGGTTGACTAAACGCCGTAGCCGTCGTTCAAGCCATCGGGAACGTCCATCCGACCAGTGGTTGCCGAGGTATGCTCCCCCACGGGGCACTGTGGCGCCGTAGGGCGGTGGCGTATATAAGCTTATATACGACACCGCCCGGATCTCAGCGCACAGGTCGTTAAATGACACGCGACAACGTCCGCTGTGCTGGAACGATTCCCCGCTATTGTTGAGGCCATCGGGAACGTCCATCCGACCGGTGGTTGCGGAGATATGCTCTCCCACGGGGGCAAGGTGGCGCCGTAGGGCGGTGTCGTAAAAAGCTAGTATACGAGATCGCCCTTTGGTCTCAGCGCACAGGTCGTTAATTGACACGCAACAACGTTCGCCGTGCTCGCACGAGTCCCAGCTATCGTTGAAGCCATCGGGTGCGTCGATTCGACCAGTGGTTGCCGAGGTTTGCTCTCCCATGGCGCCGTACGGCGGCAGGCCTTTTGACCTGGGTCGGGCTTAGGACAAGACTTCGCCTTTTGAACTGCATGTGTCCACCTGCTTTCACACAAGTATCCAGGAAGTTACC